GCCAGGGGAGGTTTAGATTGGACGCGAGGAAAAATTTCTTCACTGCAAGGGTTTATCAAGCATTGGAACAGGCTGCCCAGGGAAGTGGTTGAGTCACCATCCCTGGAGGTATTTAACAAGATGTGTAGACGTGGCACTTAGGGATTTGGCGGTGTTAGGTTAATGGTTGGACTCGATGATCTTAGAGGTCTTTTCCAACCTAAATGATTCTATGATTCTAATGTGCAGGATGTTTGGAGGTTTAAACTTGTCTTTCTTTGGTTTCAGATAATGGTGTTCTTAGCAGACTGTATCTGTCCATCCAAAAGGCACAGACCGCCACAGTACCCTCATTCAAGTAAGCCCACTGTTTACTTCTAATTCAGTGAAGCTGTTTGGTAAATCTTACTTAATAAACATCGGTATGTAACTTGTGTCTGCAGGACATGAGACTTAGTGTAGAAGTTTACACTTGTGATTGATGCTTTGCTTTACCTGCAGCTGTTTGCCCTTAGGGTTTCTAGTGGGTTTGTATTTTGTATTTAGCTAAAGCTAAACTATTTTTAAAAAACTTTCTTAGGAGATAGAAAAATGTTTTTACAGCATTTTCATACCTGCAAGATATGAAATTCCATATGTTCAGGGAGATAAGGGTAAAAGGTTTGAGTGGAGCTCTCAGTGTTGCTAAGCTGGGGGTTTGCAAAAGTTTTCGGGGGGAAGCGAGGATTGAAGGTGAATTTGCGTCTCTCTGGATAGTAAGTGATTCAGTTTGGGGTTAGTCTCTGGAATTTTTCAAGGTAATCTTAAAAAGTCATGCAAGAAGATCTGAATGCTGATTTATGATTTGTAGGAACCTGGCTCACTTTTTTTTCAAAGCTGGAGGAAGTTTTATATTACCTTGTCTAGGTAGCCTGTAATCTGTTAATACTCGACCTGTGGGTAACTTCATGCTAGCAACAACTCTACCTAAGGTGGCAGCTTAAGTGACTGATACTGGAAAGTGCTCCCTGGATTAAATTTATTAAAATTCTGTGCTAGCCCGTGATGTTAAAAAAAGTGTATTTCACATGGTGATGGTATTTATTTGTGTATGTGTGTTTTCCTCTCTCCTTAAGGAAAGCTAGCTCCAGAGTCAGCTCAGCTGTTGAAAAAGCTGGATGAAGAGCAAGAAGCAGATGAGGAAGATATCTCAGATGATGAAACGGAGGGTAAAGACGTGTCGAACAGAAACTCGTCACCGAATTCTGTAAGGCAGCGCCCAGTGAACACTGCTGCTACAATGGATAAATCTTAGCTTTATTTGCATGCAGGATTAGTGCTTGAGTCACCAACTCAAAAGGAGCTAAATGTCAAATCCTTCAGCTTGAAGAGAAGAATGACTCCTGTCATGGTAATATTGATGCATTTCACAAATTCAGAGGGGGGGTGGGGGAAGCATCTTTGGTATCAGGTATTCAAAACTAAAACATGCTGTTGCAAATGGCTGAAACTTCTCCTGTCTGTGTGCAGAGAAGTGTCAAGAAATAATTTACGTGGCTTCTTGAATGACTTGTTCTATAGGGATTTTTTTTTTTTTAACAGAATGTAAACCAGTGTACTTGTCGCATTAGGGAACATTAGCAAGGAAAATGCACTAACCTGTTTGCTGTTGAAGCATTCAAAAAGGTTTCTCAGTATAAATCTATGTAGTTGTGCTCTGAAGAAATGCTGAGGGGAGAAGTCCCTTCAGTTATGGGACATGTTCCAGGCTTTTTATGTGACAAAAACTGCTTTCTGCTATGACAATGAGTGCTACAGACCCCTCAATCTTTCTGCTTCCAAAGAGATGAAAGTTGCTGTCTTCTTTTAGAGGAACAGAAGTTGCCCTCTGAACAAAAGCTAGAGAGCTTGTCTTTGCCATCCTCCCAGATGGAAGTTACCTCTTACAAGAGAATCTGTGTAGTGTGGATTCTCTGGCTGACCAGAAACCTGCTATTTGCATTGATTTCTCTTAGAAAAGGCTGTAGAAAACTACATGAGCTTCTTGGCGGGGTAATTCTTCTCTAGAAAAATTTACAGGTAGCACCTCTGAACAAAAGCTAGAGAGCTTGTCTTTGCCATCCTCCCAGATGGAAGTTACCTCTTACAAGAGAATCTGTGTAGTGTGGATTCTCTGGCTGACCAGAAACCTGCTATTTGCATTGATTTCTCTTAGAAAAGGCTGTAGAAAACTACATGAGCTTCTTGGCGGAGTAATTCTTCTCTAGAAAAATTTACAAGTAGCACCATGAAGTCTCATTTGTCCTAATGACTCTGATTCAGATGGGAATAGTTTACATGCGGGGTTCTCTGCTGAGTCCAAATCCTATCCATTCATCCTGCTGTATGGCAGTAGGACTCTGCTTTCTTTTTAATACATCATCAGTAATTTCTGCTTAATCAAATTTTACTGCAAATCCAGTCAGGCTGTACCTGGTCTGAAGTTGAAATAACTGCTTCTTCATTTCTTTTACAGAAAGTAATCTTTTCTGTTTTCACAAAACCATCTTGAAACAATATACCCTAATTCTTTCTTTAAAAAACTGTAGTCTGCTGTTTTCTGTATGGAATTTGTTTTCACTCTGTATAGAAATAAAAAGAATGCACGTGTGCGTTGGACCAGTGTTATCTTGCATCGCTTGTAAAGAATTTTCCATGCTCTTTCAGTTAATTTCCAAAGTATTTGCAAAGGAAGGGTTAGCCTAATGCTGAGCACGCTTAGGTTTTTTTTTTTTGACAAGCCTGTTCTTTCTGGGTTTTTTTTTTGTTTTGTTTTTGGGTTTTTGTTTGTGTTTGGGTTTAGTTGTTTTTTTTTTTTAATCACCTGAGTGGGTTTGCAGGACTGGCAGTTGATAAATCTGTGTCAATAGTACACTTGGTCGTGAGTAATTAAGACGGCAAACATAGAAATGCTCTTGATGATACTTTCACTGCAGCCTGGCTCTCTAAAGCCAGGCTCTCCTAGTGATTGTTAAGAAGACAGAGCATCAGACAAGGAGACATCGTAACGAACTCTGTGGGATATGAAAGAAATAGTGGGAAAGACAATATTCAGAGCTCTTGCAGGTGAATCAGCTTGTAAAGCTGTTAGGAATACGCCATGGTTTTTGTCAGTCTTGAATGCTGCTTTAAGTTGTGTTTTAAGTATACCCGGTAGGTCATAATTCATTCTCCCTGTTATGAACGGAAAAAAGTGATTCAGCTATCCAAATACCTGAGTGAATCTTCCAACAAGTTCTTAGATGAGTAAGAATGAGTTGTTACCTAAGATGTCCTGGAACTTCCTCCTTTGACTTTTTCTTTCTGTTTTCTTTTTCTGAACATCGGTGCTCTGGAATGACTTACGACTTCAGTGCTGGGTTATGTGTTAGGAAGATAGTAACTGATGCTCGAAAGGGTCCTTTTGGTTAAAATCTGAGTGTTCCTGTCACTTTTAAATATCAAACTTTTCCTGGTGTTTGAATAAAGACCACTGTGTGCCGTAAATGCCCTTAAGGTGTTGGTCTTGTGGGATTGCCTTAAATTCTCTAAAAGTTTAGATCTTAGCCTTTGTCACTAGTAAAATAAAGCAATAAATCTGTGATATACTAAGGAGACCTAGTAGCACTGTCTTTGATAAATGGTGTATTTCGTTAGTTTGGAGAGGGCTTGAGAAGACGGGGGACACGGAAATGCTGTATGCTGTTCTAGGAAAAAGTGTTAAATTGTTTTAAAAGCTGAACTATATGGGCTAACTCCACTCGGAATATATTTAAATGTAGCTGTTATAAATGCAGGGTTTTCTAATCTTTCAGTTGCTTTAAAACTGTTTGTGCAATATAGAAAGTATATACTGATAACTTTTGGCTAACTTCTAATTTTAAAAGAACAACCAACCTTTTTTTTTTTTTGCTGTACTTCTAGACTCCTGGTTTAACAAGAACTTCGAGCACTAATTTACCTTGCCTTTGCCTTCTGCACACCTACCTTCTCTTACTGCCTCCCTACCTTAGGCAAGTAATCAAATTCCAAAACCGCCTCTTAGTCCTAAGTGTTCCGAGTTGCTGGAATCCAGCCTCTGTGTGGCAGACCTACGCTTGTGATTGGTGTAACTTCTGCAAGTTCTGTTTTGATTATCCGTAGGCTGCTTGTGTTTGCTGATCTCTGTAAATCTTACTGTTCGTATTTTTAGTAATGTTATGGTTTTGTCCTGTGAATATTTAAGTTTCTTGATACTTTTTTTTTAAAATCTGTATTCCAAAGATGTTTACTGAGGCTGAGCGAAGGTTGCAATGTGACAAACGTGCGTCAGAGCCTGTCCTTTGTGTGTATTGATGATGCTTGAATATCAGTTTTGTAAGAGTCGGACTGCCCTTTCCATATCATCACCTTGACAGAGCGTGTCCAATTCAATTCCAGAAGGAATTAATTAACTGTAACAATACTTTTTTCAATGTTTCAGAGAGTCTTCAAGTAAAAAATAACCACCGGCTTTGGATTCCTGTGTTCGTGTCTTTTTTTCTTTTTTAAGACTGTATCTTGCTGTTTAGCAATGAAGCAAAACTGCAGCTATTTCCGTAGAAAAAAAATTGTTGTAACACTCACAAACCGTTTGTGATCAGTCTTTTTTGAAAAGACAAGTTCGAGTAACACTTCAAACTAGAGCAGTTGAGACTGGCTTGAGCGTCTCGTGGTAGTCTGAGCTGACCACTTATCATTTTGGTGAGATGGTTTGTATGGTTTGGGAAGGAGCTTTCACGCACACCAGGCTTAGACGGCGACGGTGATAAAATGGGTTCCTGTGTTGCAAAAAGAATGCAGGCTGGAGTTGACAAATGATGTTTAAAATTCAGTTCTTTAACTTCTTTCTGTATTTGCATAAAATGCATGCAAATCGTGTTTCGGCTGCAGATGGACTCCTCCCCTCTTCCACCTACACACTGTATATCAAATCTTAACAGCTGAAGGGGTCAACGTTGGTGAGTTTATCTTGGAGTGGGAAGCTTAATTCAGAATTGTATGAGTTCTGAAATGAAAGAGGCTTCTGGAGGAGGAAACAAATCCAGACAAGGTATGCTCAAAGCACTACTGAGTAACAGCCGGCCCGGTGCAAAACTCTTGTCATCGGAGAGTCTGTCTTGCCTGTTCCCTTGCTCCTCCCTCCGCCTCTTCTCTTGGGAGTGGGTACTGAGAACGTGGTAGCTCTGTGTGTTGGCTCTCAGTCTGAATGTGTGGACTTTTCCTGGGAAAGTGCAATAATACTCTTGCAGTCCTTCCTCAACAGGGACAAGGAATACGTATTGCCTGGGGAATTAAGTGGATGCTCACAGAAGCTAACTTCCCTGCTCTTCCACTCGATACATTATGTATAACAGAAAATAATAGCCAGTCCGAAGGAAAAAATGAGCTAAAAGTCAAACTGAAATTTATTTAGATATTGGGACTAGCCTGATGAGAAACAAAAAAGCAACTGTATGCTTAGCTGAGTCGGTCATAGTCAAAGTCAGCCACAGGTTTGGTTTTGAAACTGGAATAGTTTCAGTTGTGACAAAGATTGATGGGGAAGGAGACATTTCAGTATGCTATAGCACTGTTTCAGTGTTTAGAAACACCCGAGTACAATGTCAATTTTAAGGCTTCTTTGCCGAAAGAAGAGGGAATCTGTCTCCTGCAGCTGTCTTATCTCCTTGTTTGCATCAGCTGAAGTTCTTGGTTTCACTGAACAGCATCACCTTTGGCCCTTCCCTGAATTTTACTTCTGACCGCTATTCTGGCTAATACCATACGGTCCGCTCTTAGGTCAGCTTTTCTTTACCTTGCTGAACTCCTTATCTTGCTGTGGGCTCTATCAACGTCAGTAACTTTCTAGAAGAAGAGATTCTGCCTCAGTCTGCCTTTTTTCCTCACTTTTCCGTGTTCAGCTCTTCAAAGCTTCCCAGATGCAAGTTTCATTTCTATTCAGCGTTGCTTATAGAAATTTTCTTAACTGCAAGGCAGATCCAGAAAGCCAACTCTTAGGTATGCATCTGATGTTTAACAGCCATCTTTAATCTGTGAAAGGAATAAATGTATTTCCGTTATCTGGTGAAGTACTTGAGTATATACATATCCCTGTTGTAGCGCTTCTTGTATTTGACCTTAACGTCTCGCGTACAAAAGCCAGCCTTCCAAAAAGCCCCTGGAACCCTGCTCCTGGCAATGCTATAGCCTGCATACTGGGATCTGCTTTCTGCTCCTGTCCTACTGATGCTTAAGTTCTCTGTGCTGTGTCATAGCTCCGGCCAGAGAGAAAGCGCCGATAATCGTAATAACTAGAGGAACGCTTGGTGTCAGGGTCCCACGTGGGCTAAGCGCAAGGTAGATCAGAGACCCAACCTCTCTCCTGCAGTGGGAACCGATGCTGTTCTTTTGGAGAGCCCATTTCATCAC